CATATATTCCCGAAATATGAAAAGCTCTATTGTTACCATTTGTTAATGCTAATCTCTAGTGACAAGAATTTCCTAGTTGTTACACTACTTCGTATCTCATAGAGTGTTTCATGAACCTTCTCAGTTTTTACAATACCAAAGGACTTCTCGTAAAAAATTTCATAGTACAATCAATGAATTGTTAGTAAGCATAGTGTGAATCATCTAGTAAAAATCAATTAATGATTTGTTTCTCTATCCAACTAACACTTCTTATGCCAGTGTTCTGTGTGGAGATAGCTTGTGAGACTCTTTCACGTTTACTTAGATGATCGATAATGTTATCAATTAGATGATCATAATACTCTCTCATACTATAGCCTAGTTGATTTACAACCTTGTTGTATGAGAGTTTCGAACACCTTAAAGGTTTAAAAATCATGTTCATATGAAGTTGGTCTTACCATCTGTCGTGATGTAATATGAACAATCCATTCGTGCAAACTAATTCCAAAGATATTTACATCACCTAGTCATATATTCATCATCTATCTTGATAAACAAGATTTGAATTTATCATAAGACTTCTAATAAGATCATATCCATGTTCGATCCAACTGGATAACTGGTAATGCATTTCTCATTTATGTATCATGACTATCATTCCACAAATGCATTTCACTCAAACCTTTTGGATATATTTGAATTGGTACTTATTGTAGTTAATCTGAATGGTCTAGTAGATAAACTAATTTTAGCAGATATTTGAAACACAATAATACATCTTATTCAAATATTAGAATCAAATTTGAACTATTGTTAGTATACTAGCTTCTTAGATTTCATGACGTTCCTTTAACATGTTAGCAGTTTATACATTCAAATAAGTTAGAAATATCTTATGAAACATTGTATCAATAATTTGAATTCTTAGACCATAGACTAAACATTTGGGAAAATAGTTGTCTTTTAATCCTATGAATAGTAGCATGGGCTCGTAATCCATTATCGAATTTAACTTCACCATGGTTTATTCTTTTCACTTCATACATATATATGTATATATATATATATATATATATATATATATATATATATATATTGGTCATGTATGCTTTCTTAATCCTTTCTTGTTATGGAAACGAATAGCTAACATAACACATCTTAGAATATGCCTTCCTTCGTCCTTGACATTTGGGTCAGGATTAGGTATATCAACACTAATTTCCTGTTAACCATGAATAAGTGGCTTTCTTCTTCTTGACACCTATTCATGATAGTAAAGAAATAGGAATATTTGAAATTTCCGTTTCTATGATTGGCCATGTTAGTTCCGAAAGGAAACCTCAACAAGATAAACAACTCATCCACAAACATTCCAAGCTATTTATATCAAAATCAAAATGAACTAGTTATATGTGCAGGTCAGCTAGTTGACTAACCCTATTCAACTTACAACTCACGGAAATTCCATTTTACTTCAATATGTCAGTTTACAATGTACACTTAAGAGTTGGTATTTTTGATAGAGCATAATACAATGTTTGGAGGACAATACTGATCATCCTAATAGCTAATCCGTTCAGTAGTTTTTTAGTTGATAAGTTTATAGACATCATTCAATATCAATTTCCATTAGATTTTGTTTTACTTATCCTTAGAAAATAATTACTCTAAATAAAATAATTTAAGAAGTCTAAGATGCTGTAAACACAACATAAAGTTATTTATATTGGGAAAGCCCTTTTCAAATTACGATCACCATGAAATTCCTAGATCCTTGAGATTCAATGACTATTAATGACATGTTAATCGTAGATTATGTCCATCTCAAATTTAATGATGTGGTCGCCGCAAATCACTGAACAGATGGTGAATCATCCATACAAAATTGTGTAGTCCCTAGCTAAAGTTATTCTTGAGATTCGTGAGTTCCAAATCATTCTCTACTTATACTTTCAAATTGATGTGTCGGTTAACCACACACGCTACATTAACAAGTTATAAATTGAATACGCATCTTTTATGGATAACATAAGATTCAAATTAAATAGATTATGAATTAACCATGTAAAATCACATGGTCACCAACTCAAGTTACGCTTAAGATTAACGAGTTCCATATCATTCTTACCTATACTCTAGATTGATGTATTGTTTAATCACACAAGCTCCATCAGTAGAAAATAAAGAGAATGTGAAACTTTCATATATAACATAAGATTCACATTCTATTAATAAAACATGATTTTGTCATACACTTGTATTGTTAATACTTTTAGATTGACCATTATCACTATCAAACACTTTCGGTAACTCCACTCTCAAAATGAAAATAAAAGGGTAAATTTAAAACTCTTTAAATTTACATGTATATTATTAATTCTAATTAATTGCAATGATGTAATGTAATAATTACTAAATCATGCGGGGTTAATATTCAAATTTATAAATCTATATTATAAATAATATTAAATATTTAAATTCACTATTTAAATAATAAATAAATATTAAAATTCAAATAATGATATTTAAATAATATTTATTATTTTTTCATATTTAAAACATTTTAAATTGTGTTTTTATCCATATTAAAAGATCTTGAAATTTGAAAATTAAAGAAAAAAACCCTAATCCAGGTGGGTCATGTCATGGCCACAAGGTTGCCAAGTTGTGACTGTGATTAAAAGGTTTCCTATTTTTTTAAAAAAAAACTTTTTTTTTCTATTTCAAACAAGAATTTATAGAAAATATGAATTAAGGGTGTATGTAATTATTAACCAATTGATCTATTACCAGTGTTGGGTTTCTATGCATCTAATACACTTAAACTAGGCAGTAGAAAAATCAAACTATGATATACCTAAGTGTGCATGAAACCTAAGGATCTATGGCTTCATACTAATTACAACTACCCTATGAAACATAAAAACACAAAGAAGAAAAATATACCTCTTATATATCCCTTGATCTCCATGCTTTAGATCTTGATCTTGTCAATTTCAAAAACCCTAAGAGGGTTAGAAATTGCCTTATGGGGGAGGGAGGGCAGTAAAGGTTGGTATAACTTCAAGTCAAGGTGCAAATAGGAATGGAAACCGTAAGGCCATATTTATAGCGTTGGATCCCTTCCTAGGTTTTGTACTCCATCCCATGTGGGATAGGGAGCCTAGAATGAAATTCTCCTTATTTCTAAATAGATTTATTCCAAAGCCTAATCCCAAAAGGGTTCTGAAACATTCCTTATTAACCAGCTAATTATTAATCAATATTCAACCCTTTAATTAATTAAACTATTAACTAATTTCCAAAATACTTTTTCTAAATAGTTTCTAATTAATTATTAACCATTATAATTAATAAATCATTTTCTTCTGTATTTATTCTTCTCAATTTGGGTCTTGAGGGCAACTCAATAGGATCCTGTTATTATTAGAATATTACTAATATTTAATGACCTTGGGATGATATCGTGAAGACTATATTGACGATGAATAGTGAACTAGTCTAGTTGTAAACTATGGTTTGTTAAGGACAGTTAGTTTGAGTTTAGTTGAAAGAGTGTTAATTATACCCTATATTATAAAGATATAACATAGATAAAAAAAAAATTTGTATCGGAGGTTGATTATGGGTATTGTAATCTTGTCTAGTTATACACTAAGGCCCAAAGGAGATGGTTAGTTCAATTAAGTTTGGATAATGAGTATCATCATATTAAGGGTATGTGTGAGAATGGAACAGAGAATAGAATTTTGTCCGATGATATTGACGACTGGTAGGGTATGTTTTACATACATTACTGCTATATTAGTATTTCCTTTGCTTTTAGATAGCCAGAAATGGTGTGTCTGTATTAGACAGCCATAAATTGTGTTTGTTTTAGATAGCCGAATGAGTAGCATCAACCTATTGCTTGATTATAATGTAGACGCAAGTGTTTAGAAGTTATAATCAATCTAGTCTAGAGAGGTGGCAATCGGGTCGTGTCGTATCGGATTCATGTCGTGTCGAAACACTAAACGGGTTGAAAGTGCTTGACCATAACCCGACCCATTTAATTAACGTGTCGTGTCGTGTTAACCCGTTTATTTTCGTGTGGGGTTTCGGGTTAGAGTTATACCTTAAAATATGCCGTGTCATGTGAGTTTAAAAGATTGAGCATGTTGAAAGAGTATGATTTAGGTAGGTGGAAAGGAAAAACTAATAGTTTGGAGGCAGAATAAATGAAGCCATAGCAAGTTCAGATGATAAAATTAAAAGAGTGAGAGTTGGGGAGGCGGATGACAAGGTCATGAGGATTTGAGAGTGGTGAAAGAGACCGGGTAATTTAGGAGAGAATGGAAATACTTAAATGAAATGTTAATCTAGACGAGTAAGTCATTTCAACATTACAAAATAATTCAATTCGAATGTTTTTCTTTTACTTATGGATTTGGTTTTGTATATTTCTAGATTATTTAAATAATTCAAAAAACTTGCATATAAATAAATGGATCATTTTCAAGTCATATTCGAGTTGAAATTCCTAACCCTAACCTTACCAATTTAATTTCCGTATCGTGTTGTGTCAACCCGTTTATTTAAACGGCTTGAAATATCTTACCAAAACCCGTTTATTTTGTGTCAGGTTTCGTATCGTGTTAATTTTTGTCACCTCTATCCACCGCATTAGATTTCAATTTCTTAAGTATTTAATCAAAAAGTAAATAAGTTTTATTACCCTGATTTTTTAATTCAGTTTGTAGTTATTATTCTAAGTTCAAACAAAAATCAAATTGTTTGAATTTTGTCTTTAAGGCTTTAAAAACCTCCGCCCTGAAGTCAACCTCTCTCTCTCTCTCTCTCTCTCTCAACATCCTTTTAACACAAAATTCTTCTCTTCCAACTAAACCCATATCTGATTACTCCCAGGGAGATCACACATTTACATAGTCACATCCAATTTTTCTCATCAGTTTTAGTTCATCTTCCTGTTTGGGCAGAGCACCTTAGCTTTATCCTTTGCCGGAAAATCAGTCATGGGAAACGGGGTCGGCAAGCTGACCATCTGTTTCACCGGAACCGACATCGTCCAACGGCGGAAAGACTTGGCCTTTGTTATCTCTGACCCACTAGACGATCTTGGTCACTCTTTTTGCTATGTAAGACCTGATCAATCTTGCATCTCCTCCTCCAAGGTCCATTCCGCTGAAGAAACGACAACGTTCCGGTCAATCTCCGGCGCCTCTGTCTCCGCCAACACATCCACGCCCCTATCTACCTCTTTCCTCGATGTATACTCTTACAACACCAGTGATAAGGCTTCCGCCTTCGAAAGCTCCACATCCTTTGCATCAATTCCTCTCCAGCCTTTGCCTAGAAATTCAATCAATTCGGGTCCTTTGCCGTTTGGTCCGGGTGCGTATTCGGGTCCTATGGACCGAGGGTTTGTTTCTGGCCCGATTGAGCGGGGATTTCAATCGGGTCCCCTTTTCTCTGGTCCTCTCGAGAAGGGTAATCTCGATCAGTTCCAACGAAGCTATTCCCATGGGGGTTTTGGTTTCAAACGCAGATCGAGAAAAGGGAATTTGATTCGGGCAATCCAGAAGGCGATTTCAATGACGTTTACAACCCGTGGGCAAAACTCCACTGTCGCTCCGATCACTAAAAACCTGGGTCATTTGAAGGATCATGATTGGAATGTTGGGTCTACAGAGAAAAATAACGAATTGACTATCAGCAGTATTAATTTAAGCAGCGAAGGTAGTATTTTGGACGACGATGATTGTTTGAATCAGAGCCAGAATCTCCAGTGGGCGCAAGGCAAAGCAGGAGAAGATCGAGTGCACGTCGTCGTATCGGAGGAACATGGGTGGGTTTTTGTTGGGATTTATGATGGATTTAATGGTCCTGATGCCCCTGATTTTCTATTATCGAATATGTATGCAGCTGTTCATAAAGAACTCAAAGGATTGTTATGGGATGATCAAACAGATGCATCGAATTCAACTTCTTCGGGGCAATCCTTAGATACAGTCGACTCTCATAGTAATTCTCAACCTCAAAAAAATTCGTCACCAAGATATGTTCATCAGCAGGAGAGTTACCCATGTGCAACTGAAGATCTCGAGACAAATTCACGAAAAAAGAGGAACAATATTAGAAATCGTGGGGCGGCTAAGAAATGGGAGGAGAATCAGAGGCGGTGGAAGTGTGAATTTGACCGGGAGAGATTAGAACTTGATCGAAGATTACGAGAACACATGAATTCAAACGGCTCAAATTCCATTAACCATTCAGACGTTTTGAAAGCTTTATCTCAAGGCCTAAAGAAAACAGAGGAGGCGTATTTAGATATTGCAGACCAAATGCTTGATGAAAATCCTGAACTAGCTTTAATGGGCTCTTGTGTTCTTGTCATGCTAATGAAAGGAGAAGATGTTTACGTGATGAATGTTGGTGATAGTCGTGCAGTTTTAGCTCAGAAATCCGAGCCAGATATCTGGAGACAAGATCTAGAAAAAATAAATGAAGAAACATGGTATGATCTTGAAGTTTTTGATGCTGATATCGCCACCACAGATCCAAGTTTAACTGCTTGTCAACTTAGCATGGATCATAGCACTTCCATTGAAGAGGTAAAAAAAAAAAAAAATTCAAACCCTGAAATAAATAACTTCAATTCCATCTCCCTTTTAACCTTACAGATTCAATAACTTTTTGCAGGAAGTAAAAAGAATAAAGAGTGAACACCCTGAGGATGCATGTGCAGTTATGAATGACCGAGTCAAAGGCTCACTAAAGGTCACTCGTGCTTTTGGTGCTGGTTTTCTTAAACAGGTAATTACTAATTAACAAACATATTTTGATTTAGATAAAATCTTAATAAAAGCAATGTAGGATTGATTCTTGATGGTGCTTCATAAAGCTAGATTCTCATATTTGTTAGAATAAATGAAAGATCGGATATTCTTTAAGGAGTTATACCTTCATACCTCTTTTCCATAGGTTTAAACCAAGTTGCTTTCCATTTTTGGATTTGTTGGATTCCCTTTGACATTTCTACTTTTGTACACACGAATAAACTTAATCCAAAAGTTATTGACTTTTCAAATAATCATAGTTGACTTCGTTTAATCCCACCTTAAGTTAAACTTTTATATAGCTATTTTATTTATCGATATACTTTTTCTACAAAAGGGTTATTATTATTTCAACCCCTGGACTCGGCCCACATCGCTCCACCCTAGGAGATGTAAATCAGGTACACAACAGCCTGATAGGTGACTGACTTGACCATTCTCATATTTTACAATGCAATTCAAGATTATAAAGCTCGATACAAATGTTCAACTTTACTTTCTTGATTTGATATTTGATGCTAAACTCTTTTTTTTTTTGCTTGTTGCAGCCAAAATGGAACAATGCATTACTAGAAATGTTTAGAATTGATTACGTGGGAACCACTCCATACATAAATTGTCTCCCTTATCTTCACCATCACAAATTAGGGCCAAGAGATAGATTCTTGATATTATCCTCGGATGGGCTTTATCAATATTTCACAAACGAGGAAGCTGTGTCTGAAGTCGAGCTTTTCATTCAATGGTCACCCGAAGGTGACCCCGCCCAACATTTGGTAGAAGAAGTTTTGCTACGCGCCGCCAAGAAAGCCGGTAATAATCTCAAATTAAAAAAAAAATTATAACTTTACGAAAATGTTTAGAAATATAAGTTTTCTGCAAAGGGTTATTCTTCCAGCAACCCTAATCTGGCCCACATTGCCCTGATTACATAACAGTCTGTTAGATGGTTGGCATAAAGCTGGATGTTTACAAAGAGCCCAATCTACATTGGACTTGAAAGTTAAAAATGTTATATTGTAGCTGCGGAGACTCGAACCTTTGATTTTTTTAGCTGAGATCTATTTTTTTTTTTTTTTTTTGTTTATAGGTTTGGATTTTCATGAATTGTTGGAAATACCACAAGGCGATAGAAGGCGTTACCATGATGATGTTTCGATTATTGTGATTTCACTTGAAGGAAGGATATGGAGATCGTGCGTGTAATCTTCGCGGATTGTAAACATAGAAATTAAGAAATAAATCGGTTACGTTGAAAAAATAGGTAGATACGGACAATTTTTCGATCTGTCTTTTTGGTGGTGAAAATTTGTAAAGATGTAAAAACTTTGGGCCATGTTAATTAATATGAAACTGTGGTACCAGAATTGCAAATATTGTAATAAATGAGGGGTTAAGTGAAAATACAAGAGTTTTAGTCAAATTACTAGAATGTGTTGGATAAATGAATGTTGTTGTCAGCTGTGATGGTTTTGAAATTGTCTGATCAAATAAGTGGAAGTCCATTTGGAGACAACGACTTTAATTTGGTATTAATTTTGGTCAAACAAACCGTGTGGATGAAAACGTCAAAGGGTTGACTTTCTTCAACCGAAGACTTAGACTTTTGTATTTGTTTCTACACAATATTTTCCACGTATTTGCATCCATTGTTGTTTGGTCGATGAGAATGAAATGAATGATCGAATATCAACAAATTATAAAATCTATTTATTTTATACAAAAACAAAAACAAAAACAATTATATATAATTATATACCTATAGATCAATGTCTATGATCTCTGTTAAACAATTAAATAAGAGACCTAACTATTAGAAGTTAATTTATATTCTAGGTAAATCAGATCCTGATTTGTTTTATAGCGTAAGCTCTTATATATTAATTTTGAAAAATGTTATTTCTTCAAATACTAATTAATAAAGGTACGTTTAATTTTTCATATTTAGATATTAAACATTGACAATATCCTTCAAATACTAATTGATAAAAGGTATTTGCTAGAACATGCTAAAAGGTTGGAACCAAATCCAACCAACTCTATCATATGTGATTTGATTTGGTTTGTTTCGAGATTTATTTAACTACTGATGTGAATCAAAACAGATTTTTTCAGTCAACGAATTTAATACGAGTCGATATATTTAAACTCAATAACTCACAAATCGTAATGATATTAGAAACGAGAATTATGTTCTTTAAATAAATAAAATTTGTTCATTTCTTGATATAAACGAAAGTGGATTTTCTAGATTGAATAAATACAAAATCTCCTTACACTAATAAAAAAGTAGTTCTTTTGTCATTCGTCACTATCTTAGGTCTTGTAATTAATATCATCCAATTTATCAATATATTAATTCTCCATTTCAAATTTTAAATTTCTCATTTTAATTACATTAGATTAATAGCATTAAAATAAAAAAATAAAATAAATTTTATACAAATTATAAGATGATATAATTTTACGTATTTATTTGAATTAACGATTATAATTTTATATATAACTAATAAAATATCTCTTAATAAATAAATTATTTAAAATAATTAATTAATAGTTTTGAGTTTTTACTTAAAAAGTTAAATTAATTTTGTAATCGTGGTTTCCACAAGTTATAAATTAGTTAATTATATAAAACAGTAAAAGTAGCTAGAGCTACTAACCCCCAAAATCCTTACACTATCAATTCACGTAGGGGCGGATCTTTATTATTTTTTTGGTTAGAGGTGGCCCTTATATTTTAATTTTATACATATTAGGCCTAAAAATATAAAATTTGGTTGTGAACCTATATATATATATATATATATATATATATATATATATATATATATATATATATATATATATATATATATATATATATATATATATATATATATATATCATCCCCCCCCCCCCCCCCCCCCCCAAAATAAAAAATCAAAATTTGAAGCTCCGCCCTTGAATTCACCAAAACATCCTTAAGTCAAAACCAAGGTAAAAACTTCAAACCGAGTAGTCCTTAGACTATGACTAACTCTTCTAATGGGCAAAAGACCATTTTGCCCTTCCTAAGATCCTTGTCCAACACATTCCTACTATGAATACAACCCATGCATTCATGAGCATATACATATGATGGCAAATTGTTCTCCTCCCCCGACTTAACCAAATCTTAAACCAAAGTCTCATATATAAGGACCGTAGATTCCTATGACTATTCTTCTAAAACCATAAACTTTAACATATCAATTATCCTCCAAGCAGAAAACCCCCAGTTATCCTCCAGTTAGGGTTTGAACTACGACAAACTGTCACTACAATCAGAACAAAACTCAAACTGGCTCTACCAGATACATAGCATCCCTGACCTTTGGAATGTATAACACAATGCAAGATGATCTTCCAGATAAAGTCTAAGAAAACTCAAAGAGATTCTGAATCTCAGATGGAGAGCTCAGAAACTTCCCAATCATAATTAACCCTAACATCAAGAATCCTGTGTATATGTACATACAATACTTCTAACGGTCTATTCATAGCACCAATTGTTTATTTAGAAACAAATGGACTACCACACACCTTGCCTCGAAATCCTTAACCATCAATTCATCGTGAGAATCATTCATAAATACAAGAGGCATCATTTTCTTATTCAGGGTACATTAGAGACAACAAAAGTTGTCCTTCCCAATTCTCCTCCCTCGATCACCTAAAAAAATCAACTAGCACCTGACCTAACTAAATTCAATGAAATAAGACCCTTGATCTCATCTCATGGAAATCGTACCACAAGAATCCTCTTGTGCATTCCCACACTACGATACTTGCTGCCAAAAACCGCAACCATTTAGCCTCATGATGGGTCTACATCTCAACTCTAAAAATCATATACCTGCACTCTCTTTCCTCCTAACACAGATAGTTGGAAGAACATAACCCCCATAGTAGATGATAAAATCCCAATCCATCTGATAATCACTCAGCCTTCGGCTACAATCCTCGAGTTGATTGTCATAATCGTTTCCTTCTTAAGTCCTGCAATTCGACTGGTGCTACGTTGAGCAAGGCCTTCAAGACCTCCAAAATCAATTAATGCACCTATGTCTGCACCATTCAAACCCATACTTACATGGCCACTAAGGCCCAAACAATTACTAAACCTGTTCCTCATTCCATATAACCGAAATCAAAAGGCCGATAAAGATGGGAACACACTTAAATGAATCATGGTGATAAACCATACTATTTACCCCCAACCAGCTCCTTAGAATCCCTAAAAAAATCCTTGATTTGAGTACGGATCCTATGATTTCAGTAGTACAGACCCAATACTACCTTCCACACCTATTCGTACTTTCCTCAAGAATCATTATGGGTCCTCTAAGCAACTACTCATGTCTAATATCATTTGATCCAACAATAAATACCTGCCCTTAAATGAGTACACACTGTTAATCCTCCTAATTTCTCCCTCTAGGATCCCTCTTCAAGGTATGCTCACACAAGCACATTCTAACATTCTTCTTAGGCTGTATTAGGTTCCCTTCACACCATTCTCCGCCATCAGCTGTAGAAGAGACTCCCTCTAATACCTTCTATCTACCTCACGAATAGAATTACATGCTATAGGCACTAGATAATTCTTTAACTGAAATATCTCACACTACAATAGTTGGACTCAAACAAGAGCTATGCAGTAGAGTTAAAACCTAATAAAATTATCTAATCCCTACAACATGTAACCTGACGTATTCGCTTAATAGTTATCCGATATTATTGGAGGTCCCTAAAAGCACAAATTTTTAGAGAACAACTTAATAAAGGTTAGTAACGAGATAATATATTGCGGAATAATAAGTTAATCTCAATGGATCTTTGTTAACTCAACAATAATAGTTAGATTACGGAAAAGTAAGGAATGTAAATAGCAGCACGTTATATCAATAAGAATTAAACAAGTGGAAACTTAGTTGAATCATAACATGGTTTGCATGCAAACATAAGTTAGTAAATGATAAACAACATAAGTGAAGAGGGACCTGGATAAAGTATCTCTCAGATAACTTTAGATAATATTGAGATGAAGAAATCTTTTGTTGATTAATTTAGAACTTGTACATAAACAACATAAGTGAAGAGGGACCCGGATAAAGTATCAATCAGATAACTTTAGATAATATTGAGATGAAGAAATCTTTTGTTGATAAGTTTAGAACTGGTACATAAATATGAAGTGGAACCCTCTATTTATAGAGGTCCCAAAGTCACAAAGAAATAATACACAATGACAAATTGAGTGACTTCAGTGACACTGAAGAGTACACTGGATAATACTAAGTTTACACGCATAGTCAGTAAGATAATACTGAAGAGTACACTGGATAATACTAAGTTTACACGCATAGTCAATAAGATAACTTGTAACAGCCTTGATGTTCTCATATGTCTTCGGGTCTTTATCTCATCTTCGGGCTCCATATGATGACAACGGTCTTCAGTATCCACCTCTCTGGTTCACACGAGTATTTGGGTCTTCGGGTTCATTTTAGTTGCCAAGGGTCACTTTCTTGTATCAACAATTCCCCCCATAGTGACCTCACAGCTAAGTTCTTCATTGATTGAGTTTGAGAAAGTTGATGAGAATCCACCAAAATTTCCTAACTTCAAAGTGCCATTTTATTTTTTTGGGTGATTTCAAACTACACCTCTTCAGAGGTATGCTTGGATCTTTTATCACAGTCATTATAATCTCCAGTTATTTTTAGAAAGGCGATGAATGGTCATGACTGGGATGAAGAACTTTGAACTTTTTTAGGACTTATTGTACACAATCCCAAGCTCTGTAAATTTTATTGCTCCGAAATTCATATCTTGATATCCATCAGTGATTGATGGAACTAGTTCGAATGGAGGAAAATATAACTTCTTATCAAGTATCGGGTGGATTTCAATGTCAATCTTCCCAAATTCGCATACCAGGGCCTTAAGAAATTCACAAGCCCTTTCAAAAGTAATCTTCATCTTTGGATACTTCTCAACTTTTAGTTGGAATACTTGGGCAATCAAGAATATTTCTTTAGGGTTCATGAACACGAAGTCTACTTGTGTTCTAATGTAGTCACACCCTTTGTAGGAGAGAGTGTATTGGAGGAATTCACTTTTCATGGACTTCTAGCCTTGTAAGTCTTTACTCATTCTGGTTTATCAATCGACCAAATTTTTTCAAACTTATCACCATGTCCAGCATGAAAAAGATTCAGCCTTTCAAAT